AATGGTGTCAAGGAAGTTGGATATTAATTCAATGGGACAACTACAAGCAGACACGATGGGGCGGCCTGGATTTCCGGATTTGTGAATTTTGGGTAGCAAGTACGTAGAAGGGTGCCGTGCGAGGGTTGGGAATGACCAGTTTGGTTTCGTTAGGGGGGAGGTCACCGGAGTCAATGAAACTTCGGACAGTGCTAGCAACAATATCTTGCTGCTCTTGCGTAAGGTCGCAGTCAACCTTAGCGTAGGACGCAACGTCAGACAGTTGACGTTCGGCTTCAGCGACATGCAAGTCCTTACGCCAGACCACCGTAGCGCTACCCTTGTCCGCCCTCTTAATGACGATGGCATCATTGTTCTTAAGGGACCTAAGTGCTTCGCGTTCAGCCAATGAAGGGTTGATGCGCTAGCTTGATGCTGGGTTTGAATTTGCTGGGTTGGAATAAAAAGATGGCCTTGGTACAATCACAGCTTGGTAATTTCTTCTCACTATCTTCTCAGTATCACCGAGCAAGCGTCTTTTGGCGATATATTTCTAATCACTGGTTAACTTGATCAATTTTGGATGAACGAATAAAGTATGGTGAGAATATTTTCAGGAAGAAAAAGAAAATATCGAATAGATAACCGCTTGTGTAACGCATTGAGCGAGCTCGTACACCTGGCAAACATTTACCCACAATGCTCTGCGCGTCGTTAGCCGTGACCATTGATCTCCATCGCGTACAAAACGCGTCCAACGTATGCGTATTTTCACGAGGGTAAATGAAAAGCGTTGGGAATTTTGTTGCGTGTATTTCAAATGATTTTTTCAAAAAACAGGTTGAGGTTTTTGTGCTTCAATCGTCAGATTCCGGAGAAAAACTGAATTCTGCACTTGGAATGAATAAATTTGGAAAAAAATAATGGTTGAGGTGTACGCGTTATACGCAGCAGTGAATTACCGGAGATCAACGTCAAGTTTGGAAGAATGAACAGAAGGAAATGTAAGTCGCACTTTTTTTTAGTTTCAGACAGTTTCTCAAATTGTACTTTATAATGCTTAACTTTAATACGGGCGATTCACAATAGCGCGCCACCAAGAGTTTGCAACACGTTGGTCAATCATAAAGCACGAAATTTGTCGACCCTTTCCAAATGCGCATTGGGTCGACAAATTTCGCGCACTGTGATTGGCCAACGCGTTGCAAACTCTTGGTGGCGTACTGTTGTGAAACGGCCGTATTAAGCCTACATAGGCCTAGTAAGAAATTTATGACAGTCTATCTAGCCTATCAGGCTTTGTATATGAGACTTCACTATCTCGAAGTGGGGACCGTCTGAAATGTTACTTATTGGTAAAAGTGGTTTCAAAAACTGAATGACTAATTTGTCGTTTGTTTTCCCCAGATTTCACCGGAAAATCTCCAAGAAAGCCATGATTTGTGTTTGTCGGATCTAAAGACGCACTGAACCCAAATCGTATGACAGACGATGCCATATGAGTGACAGAATTCTTCTTCGGGGCAGAGATGAAACCAAAGTGAGAAGCAGAGTGCTGGCGTTTCTGTGAAGTTACAAACAACGGAATTCAAAGTCAACGCAATAAAAAAAAACTTAGTCTACGTAACAAAATTATTCGTTCTAAAAATGACTTTTTATACCAGAAAGTAGTTATTAAAATTTAAATCTTTAAGTCAGGTTGTGAACTCAACTTTTTAAGCTGATTAATAAGTGTCTGTTTTAAAAACTGCAGGAAGTTAGTTTGGTCGCTCATTTAAAGCTGCGCTCACTTTGTGCTCACAGAAAAGATTCTCACACTTCCTTATGCCGTATGTCGGTTTTTTATAAAAATTTACTCAATATATGAATGAATTTTATTTAGTAAAATTTTTCCTGAGAGTGTGTAAAATTAAAATCATTTTATTGATGATTATGTTCAGTGTTTGCTCATTGAAACCAGACGGAAAAACACATAGACAGTTAGACATAACATTTACTGACGAAACCTATTGCATGTCCTGGTGGAATTCTCAAAGTTTTACATACTGAGCAAATCACGATTGAACCGACCCAAAGTGAAAATATTGCTAAAGGGAGACCGTAGACAATAGGTGTAAAAAAAAGTGAATTAAAAACAAACACACACAAAACCATGTTAACATTTTCGCTTTTTGAGAGGGTTAGTTAATAAGAAAATGGTCAGTTATTTCCGGAAATGATATTATTGCATTTTCTGTTTATTTTTGGCTTGTTTTCAGGAGGGAGACCGAGGGCTTAGCCATCATCCCATGAAAAAAAGGTTACTTGACCAGAAATGCACAGCATACAGTATCACATTACCCTCCTGAAGCACCGCCATTGTTCGGCCACGCATTTTGTGCACAAACAATGCGCGGTATCCTACCCAGTCTATATAAGGATGCACCCTGGTAATTAGACCAGAAATATGTGGGCTGAGCTCATTAATAAAAGTTATAGACTCAAAATATTCTATATTAGAGGGTCGTGAGGGCCATGGAACTGAGGAATTGAAGAAATATGAGACTGGACCTCTGGGCCGGACTCAGGGCTTCCAATTCTGAGCAATTTGGATGCAATCGGGTTTGAAAGTGGCACTATTTGAGCCATTTTGCTGAGGGAGGGTTTTTCAACATGGACAGGGACATTTTCTGCATTTTAGGGGTGGTCTGCTTCCGGTGAAAATTTCTCAAAAAATCATTGATCAACCCCCCGAAAATTGAAAGGGAAATGAAAGAGGACATGTGGAACATCATGTTTCTGTGCAGCCTGAACACCTGTAAGAGTTGTATTTTTGAAATATTTGTGAAGTATGGGGATTTATCACTGCTGTCTATGGGCATTTATTTGTAGTGGTGCACCCATAATGGAGATCAATGGTCCAGCTGCAGGATAGTTCTTTGACGAAACAAGCATTACTACGGCGCTCTGTGAGTGCCATCCGACTTGTTCAGATACTGAGATCATTTATCTTTGTAAGTCGACTTATAAAGTCGATTTAACAAGATAAATGATGTAGTAAAATTGACTTCCTAAGTATAGTAAGTCGACATCGCGAGATATTTTAAGACTTCAAGCCTGCTTTCAGAGTTCCCTATATCGACTTGGCAAGATAATTTATGTTATTACGTCGACTTCCTAATTCAAGTAAGTCGACTTGGCGAGATAATTTATGTCATCAAATCTACTTCCAGAACTCGGTATGTCGTCTCGGAGAGATAATTTTTGTTGTCAAGTCTACTTCCGGATTTTGCTTGTGTCAACTTGGCGAGATAAGTTAAATACTCAAGTCGAATTCCTCATTCTTGTAAGTCAACTTGGCAATACAATTCATGTCATCAAGTCTTCTTTCAGAATTCACTATGACGACTCGTCCAAATTAAATTTGCTGTCAAGTCGATTTCCTAATTCTAGCGAGTCAACTTGGCGAAAAACTACGCTGCAGGTCACGTTCACTTGTGAGTAGTCAGTTCATGCCTGCATGTCGTACAAGTCTTGATGACATGCATGGATTATCTCGCCAAGTAGACTTACTAGAATTATGAAGTCAACTTGCAGCATAATTTATATCGCCAAGTCCACACAGTGAATTTTAGAAGCCTACTTGATGACATAAATTATCTCGCCAAGTCGACTTACTAGAATTAGGAAGTCGAGTCACTGACATAGATTATCTTTTCAAGTCGACCTACCGGAATTAGGAAGTTGGATTGACTAGATAGGTTTCCTTGCCAAGTCGTCTTCCCACAATTGTAAAGTCGACTTGACAACATAATTATCTCGCCGAGTTGACATCACGAATTCCAAAAGCAGTCTTGATGACATAAGTTATCTCGCCAAGCCGTCTCGCTAAATAAGGGAGTCGACTTAACTACATAAATAATCTCGACATATGAAATTCAGAAAGTAGACTTGATGTCATGAAATATCTCCCAAGTCGACTTACTATAATTTGGAAGTCGACTTGACTACATCATTTATCTCATTAAATCGACAAAATACACTTTATAAGTCGACTTAATAAGAAAAATTATCTCGGTATCTGAACAAGTCGGATGGCACTTCCAGAGCTCCGTACTTTTCACATTTAATGGATAACACCTTAGTTGGGCCGTCTTATCCATCTTGCGCAGCGTGTCGGCGCTATACAATCTTTGATTCAAATATCCCACTCACAGACGTATATTTAAAAACACAGACGGACAGCTCCTATTCAAAACAACGGCGGGGTACCGTAGCCGAGACGGCACCCAGCTAAATCCAAAAGCGTGGGCAAACCTTGGTATACGGAATTTACACACAGTTAAAGAATTCCAGCCATAAATGCTATGACAGATCAGTGAATGAAGTCACAACTAAGTACAATGTACAAACTGCGTGCGCAGCATGTGCTCGCGGGTCGATCGAGTCCGCTATTGAGTTCTGCCGTCTTGGCTCAAGACTAGGCGACGAGTGAATGGCGTATCCGGGGGGGCCCGCCCTGACGGATTTTTTTACAAAGAATACTTCATAGGTGAGTTAAATACAACCAAAGAACACTATTCTCGGAACAAGATCAAACTCCACCTACTCGTAAAAAGCTTACACTTTGAAAAACTCGCGGGATTTTTATTTTTGAACAGCCGCAAAAAATACCGAAAGCCGAAGACAAGGGGAAGTTCTGCAAAATTAATATTGATAATTTTCCGTAAGACAGAAACGAATTTTCCTTTTATTAAAACAGAAATGAATTCAGCCAGTTATTCAAGCATTAACCCCAGCTCGAAGAACGTAGATGGACGTCACATTTTACTTGCCACTAACTACAAGTACCTGCAGGTGGGTTTATGTCTTTGTGGGTGACCAGTTGTAGCCTACATGTACGAGCGGCCAACCAACGAATGAACAAATCGGGCTCATCTGCGTTCGTGAACGTACGAGAAGCCGCCCAAACCCAGCTCGGGATATTGGCGCCCTCTGTTGACCGTTGCCACGGACTCCAGTGTGTGTACAAGTGTGTTTACGCGGCGCACTACAGTACTCGCCCGGCTCGTAACCAACACAACTTTTTCGTTCGACCCCAATGCACGCGATGTAATTCTTGTTTGTGTCTCCACTGCCTGTGAAACTGTGTGTATGAAAGTAGAACTTCTCCAGCATTAAGTTTTACGACATCATTTCGAGTCATTCTTCTCATCAAAATGAGTCAGGCAGCAGTTGGTGTTCCGTACGACACATTTAATAACCCACTTTTGATGAAGGTAGGCATGTTGGCCTTGTGTTGTTCAACTTCTTGATTTTTACACTAGGCCTAGGCTATTTCTTCAGTAGGCCTAACGTTAGGCCTACCATGAAGGGATGAGTTTTAAATATGCAGTGCAAATATAAAAGTTTCTAGAAAAGACTCTTAAGTTTGTCACGGAAAGAGTTCCATACAGATGCCACTTGAGACCCTGTGCACAAACCAGTATGAGACTGGTCTGAAAATTGTTTTCTAAATGAGTTCATATTTTCCCTCCTAAATTGCACTTTTCTGGACATGTGTATGCTTTCTGAGGGCTAATAGTAATAGGCCACTGTAGGGAATAATTACTGGCGTCCATATATCAGGGTTCTGCCCAGGATCTTTTTAGTGGGGAAAAAAAACCAGCCAGGGCGACAGTGGTGGCGGCGAGGGGGGGATTAGAAAACGAAGTCAAGGGTCACTTATAAATATAAGATGAGGTCACAGCTGTTACAGTAGCTATGGGTAATTTGACGCAAAATATCCATTTCAGATAAATGCTACAGACAGAAACTGTGCTTTTGTGATTCTGTATTTCAAGTTGTAGGTTATAACTTCAGGAAAGGGAACAAATTGTACTTGCCTGGTCCAGATAGATGAATGACTACTTATGTAGAAGCCGTCAGTTTTTCTTTTTGCTCACAAAGCAACTGCCTCTGATACTGGGAACTCTTCCACTGGGGCCCCTCAATTGCAATGCATAGAAGAGAATCCAGTGTCTCTTCCTTCATTCCGTTTCTAACCCGACTATTGATGAGCTTTAGTTGGGAAAATGTCCTCTCTATATCATATGAGGCAATTGGCACAACCCTACAAATTTGTGCAAATGTACTCAGGTTGGGATATACATGTGCCAGGGTGGCATTGCTGCATAGAGACTTGATCACATCTTGGTGAGTATCCTGCATTGAGTTAGCTCTCATGAATTGTCTGAAATGTGTCCACTCTCTCAGGCAAACATCAACATAAGAAACAATCCCGGTTTCCTGGAAACGAGTTGCCAGCTCTTTGATATAGTTGTTCCCATACTCGTCAAGGTCTTCATCTGATACTGGCATAGTACTAGGGTTGAAGATGTTGAAAGCTGCCATGACTGAGTTATCAGTGAGCCTGTCTTCGAGGTTTTTGACAAGCTTTTGGAGATAGAGCTTGATGATGTTTTTTGAAAAGTTGTCTGTGGCCACATTTGGTGGTTTTTGGATGTTTATTTTCTTTGCCTGTACCCTGGCTTGACTCTTGGCACAAGACTGTAATCACAGTCTTTGATCTGAAAGCAGCAAGAGAGATGTGAGACATGAGGCAGAACGTCACACAGCATTAACACGGTACATACAAATTTGTACTCAGTGATGAGGGAATGAAGGCCAATAGCCTTGGCATTTGTACGCTTTAGCCCTTCTCATTCTAGGCTTATTGCAACAGACTCAAAACAGTCCTTCAGTCTGTGCACACTCCTTTCTATGCTTAACCATCTAGTTGATTATGAGTTTTCCTCATAATTTCCCTCAAATCTCAAAACCTAGCCTTTTTGACAACATAAACCCTACAGTTATTTAGCATAATGTCACAGTCATCTATCAAGGTGAATTCAAAAGTTAAAATGCAGCTCTCCCTTCTATTACAGGGGGCAGAAGTGAAATGGGGCAAATTGGAAATGGGGCAAATTGGAAATGGGGCAAAGTGAGATGTGGGAAATAGGAATGGGCAAAGATTGGGATAGGACGAAGCGGTTAGGGGCGAAGTGACCGGCACCCCTTAGAAAGATGTGGGTCGTGCTATTTAGCATCAAAAAGCATCAACTAGTTATTCAAGCATATTTATGCAAAATATTTATATTTATAACATTAAATTGGTTACATATTCCGTATATAACATTTTCTAAAATGATATTTGAGAGTGGAACTTTGAGCGACAAAGTCAGTTCTGCTTGTGCAGCCAAACCGGCCGCCATCTTGTTTTTGCATGGATGGCAGAGAAAAAAAAATGGCGGCCCCCATACATCGCAAAAACTTTCACTTTCCTGTTTAAATCTGGAAGAAAATGCCCTGTTTTTTGTACACAGTGAAATATGTTAGAGTCTGTAAAATATGATAAAACCACTTTGAAAACTTTAGAGGATATTTTCAAGTTGTTTACACTTTGTTGACGCGACATGTACTTGTGTGTGTTGACGCTTGTTGACACTAAATAGCACGACCAGAAAGATGCTGTTAACATATAGGCCCAGGCCTATTCTGGGTTATATAAAGGTGTGTTGAAAACACATTAGTATGACGATAGAAATGCCTCTCAGTGCCACATTTGTGTTTTTTTCCAAAATTCACATTACGATGACTGAATATTACCCTGATCTTGAGGCTACAAAGTAGTGAATGGTGCCAAGATACTGCATTGGTGTTTTCAAATCTTTTCCATTTTTCATTTCCACTGCTTTTCAATGAAACGATAGTCAGAACTTGGAAAGCCAGCAAAACGTGGCTTTACCCTCCCCGACTACAACTTCACCTACGGGCGTCCAAACCTTGCTAAGGATGGAGGGGCTGCGGAGGCCATGTCCAGCTGGACGCCAACTGCTACGCTTCCCACGCTGCGCAAGGAGAAGCGACCAGACAGGGACTTTGTTGCATTAAACAAGGCTTGCATTGGATCAGGGCTAGTGACAGCCAAAGAGCAGTTTGAATATAGAGCAACACATGATGTCAGGAGACGTGTGGCAGAGGAAGAGAAAAACAAGACTAAAATCAAGAGAATACCTGCCTCTATGACCTTTGGCATCTCTACCAGGTAATATGAAAGGCTGCTGCTTTCATTTGGAAATAAGAATTCAGAGTCAACCTCTTGCCAAGTTGACTTGAATATTTTGTGTCTGAAGAACAAGGGTTTCAAATGAAATGCTTAGGTAAGGGTATCGTGCAATGAGGTTGAAACATCAATTAGCACAGAAAAGGGAAGGCAAATCAACTTGACCCCTCCAGTTGATTATCTGTGGTTTTACAAAAACAGGTTTAAAAGTATTCCAACCATGGAAAAATTATGAGGTGCAAACTGAACAAGATAATCTTGTATGTGCATAACCATTCAGTGAGGTCTTTTTTTAGCACCTTTTCTCTAACCATCATTTTTCAAAAAATTTTCCTGTAAGGACTTTGTGGTCATCTGGTCAAAAATAACAAGGCTGATAACCTGTGAGGATTGAACAAAGTGTACCCTGAACAATCAGTGGACATGTGACAGAAGTTTTTCTTCTGAGTAGGAGTTTGAGTTGTTTGTCAGTAGACAAGTTGAAACAGTGGTGAGTTGGAGTCGAGTTGCCAATCGAATGAGTTGACTGTCAACTGTTTCTTTAAATGAGTAGTTGTTTATTGATGTTATTTATAATCATACACTAATTTTGCACTGCTGTGCAGCTGTTTAATTTATGATTGATTAATTTATAACTCCTCTTATTGATTTGCTGTTACGACAGGCCATCAACACCAGTATTTGATCTTCTAGAGCACAGATATCAGGATCGCTGGTTGAATGAGAGGAGAAAGAATGAACTTGCCAAGAGAGACCGCCTGGTACAGAAGGTAAATACATGTATACAGGTTTGATACAGAAATATCGGCAGTATTTAAGTTTGCAGTCATGTAGTCAAGTTTACAAGTGTGGAAACCTTGGACCTCTCTTTGAATGTGTTCTACATCTATAGTACAAATGATGTTTCTTGAATTCACTGGTAGCATGAGGTTGAATTCAGCAAACTTTGTCAACTTTCGTTAAAGGTTAATGAGGGTACAAATGACACATAAAGTGAAGTGGAACTCTTATTTTAAAACTTTCTTTCACCCTCTCAGCATACTTGCCGATTACTGAAGCATGACGTCATTTTTACTGGGAAGCGTAAATGAATGGAGTACAAACATGTGTCAGTTATTTCATGCGTTGGTGGTTGTTTTCGCGCCAGTGTCTCTTACACGTATATAATTGTATGCATGGCATATTCACTTTGGTACTCTAATACTATGGTACTATAGACTGATCAGAGATGCGTTGGTACCCCTGCAAGACTTCAAAGTGTGAGAATACATGTTTGCATTTGATAAATCACAGCACCCCAATGGTCAAAGAAGCATGTAATGCACTGGTACCACCTATCCACTAGTAATAGCTTTTAACTCCATTCAGTGGCCGGCTTATTCTGTAAAGTGACGTTACGTGCAAATAAACAATAGAGGTCACTTAGAGTGGATGACTGGAGTAGGGCTCTAATGTATCAATGTTGAACACTGCTAAATGTGTTGACCCTGAAGGCCTGCTCTTACTTTTCAACAGCAAAACCTTAACAAGGGGATCTATGAGACACGGGCTTCCCTCCTCCGCAAGTTCTGCCCCCCTGTGGAATCCCCACCCCTCTGGCAGATGCCCAAGTTCCAGAAGCAGCAGCCCCACCTGGAGACCTTCCGCTCACCTCAGGCACGGCAGAAGGCCTTTGAGAGTCACGCTACTGACTGCACGGCCAGGACAGGGGTGTTTGGCCATGGAATCTATGAGGGTGCCAAGAGTTAACAGGCCCAGAGGAACTTCAACTACCGGACTCTTACAATATTAAGTGTCTTGATCAAATAGCAGTGTTCTAACCATGATGAGTCCAAACTGGATCTTTAATGTGGTCTGACAGTCCTTCAGACATGCAAACAAAGAAGTGTAGCTATTTTTCACTAAAAACAGATATAGTATTGAATGGAAGCTCCCAGAAGGGGTTTTGCAAACAAGGGAATGTATTGCATAGATGTTTCCTGCAGGCTACAAGTTGCTGTTGACTGTGCTCAAGGATATAAAGTCTATTCAACAGACGTTGGCATTCAGCATCATGGAAATGACTGTGGGGAATATGCAGACCAGAAAAAGGAAGTACTCATTTATTGTCACGTGGGAAAACAGTACTTTGGATCAGTAAGTTTTGGAACACAGGAATTCTTTGGAAAATAATTTTAACAACAATGCATTTTCATTTGTACAATGTGCGACTTTCTGATCGGATACATGAACATCAAAGTCAGTGTCAGTCATTTGTGGCTTTATTTCTTTAAGAGTTCATTAGAGACCTTAGGCACACTAGTGTATTTTTTTTTGGAAAGGTCTGGAAGTGGATTTTTATAGAGACCTCTGTTTCAGCCCAGTGTTGATCATTTCAAAATTGCCCATTGTTACTTTTCCTCTGGAATGTTAAAAGCATTATTTCAAATTGTTCAAATTAACCATGGATTTGTATTACTGGGTGTGACTCCCATAGTGATGCCCATTAACCACTATTTCTCATTGCTCCACGGTACACATTGCTTAATAGTTTTTGCCTCATGACGTGGCATGGGCCAAAAGTATGAAGATTGTTCTCTTTATTTTCCACTTGCAAGGAAATTTCAGAAGTATGCATCCTTTTTTTCTTTTCTGCAGGCATTTATCAGTCTGGAAAGGAGATTAACAAAAGTATTTCTTTTTTATTGTATAGACCACAAAGCCTGGTTAGAACACTGTTAGATGTCATTTAGCAGAGTCATTTGACACACTGTGCGGTGTTTTCCAGGTGTTTCCCCAAGGTTTAACCCATGTATTATTAAACTGTACTCCTTTTTTTAAATCACTGTAAATAATATTATCATAAGGCTAAGAGATAATGCACAAGAACTGTTCCTTGCTGTGCCATATTGCATACATGTGGTTTGCATAGCATAGTGAGAAATCCTAGTGAGACAAGTAGGGCCTCCATTATGTACCAGAAAAAAGTGATGACAGCATTGGTGTAAACTAAGCATTGTGCAAGTTGCTGTCTGTAAATGTGTAACTAAACCTTCTCTTTATGTGTCACATACTATCCATTTTTTATATTCAAATTTCTTCCCGGTTAGAATGCTGCACTTTGTAAGTTTCAGCAATGACATTTGGGACATCGAATTTCAAGACTTTAGACTAATCATGTGTGAAAAATAAAAGTGCACATTTGCAAAAATCATTCCTATCTGTTGGTTCTTTTATTGCAATATCAGTTCAAAATGACAGTCTCATTTTATCTGAAAATCTGACTTTCCAAAATAGCAAAATGACTTTTCAAACACATGTATGACTACAGTACAGGTAACAAATATTCACTCCTGAACATGTTACAAGTCATTTGTACCAGTATTTGTGCCACATTATCAAGAGCTCGTGATCTGTAATACTGCAAGGCCCTGCAATGTGTACAGCAGCCAGGTTCATGTTTCGACACCTCAAGGACTATCAGTAGCCCGATCAGTTACATGTCCTCTGGTGACAACTGTTTAATGAACTAAACTACAGCCTATATGTACACCAATTAAAAAAATGTCCTAGTCCAATTTCCATGTGGTACCACCCTATATAATTGTGGGAATTTCTCAACTCTGCTGAGGAAAGCTCGACATATAGCTGCAATAGGCAAGCTTCAAAATGACCTTTTAAAATCAGTAACAGTGCTGTTTAAGCAAGGGATTGCTACTTTGATCTCTTGATGCACATCAGTGCAAGCACACAGCATCTCTTGTGGGTTGCACTATACTAAATGTGCGCCCCACAGAAAACCGCGGAAAGAAAGACTGCAACCTGGTGACCCTCACGAATAGGTTGGCCTTGTGTGTTTCACTAGAAATTCAAGATTATGGACACAAAGATCAGTTTTGTTCTTATCAGTGTTAGCCATGAAACACTTTTCATTTGCCCGTTCCCTAAATATAGCCCGAAGACAATACACTTTACGTTCAGGTCTGAATAATGTATTATATAGCTGCCCACCTCCAGGCAAACTAGGTTCACAAGTTGGAGGTTTTTGGAATGAAAATACCCCAAGTTAAAAGAAACAAGTCCCAAATTCATAAGTTATAAAAATATATCTATGACCATAGTCCAGACTACGGCGTATCTTATAGTTAATAAGAAATCAAGTGATTTTATAGTGGATATCACCTTTAAATGTCCCCACTACATTTAGTATTATATTAAACATGCACACCATATAAACAGTTTCTAGACCAGATCATTGATATTTCTAGGATATTTGATGCAGATTCTTTACTATACACCCTTCAAGAAACATCGGGGAAAAAGGGGGAAACTTTGGCAAAAACAGAATTTCATTGGAACTTTGGCTAAATCATCTCAAGATTTAAAAATGGGAATGTTGAGAGCTTGTTCAAATCTCACTAAGTGAAATTTAAGGTGAAAATATTGCTCTAGGAAGGCACTTGATGCCATGTCTGAGATTGCATATTATTGACAATATTGGAAAAACTCCTGAAAGTTCAGCACTGAAAAGACACGTGCAGTAACGCTGAAGAAAATGACAAGAGCAGCTCTTACAGGGTTAACTGCTGAATCAGCCTCAAAATGTTGGCAGTACAGAAAGGAGTGCGCCAGTTCATTTAGGATTGTTCAATTCCCTAGTTGTTTGCAAAAATTATTCCACATATTCTAATGAGCTGGCTGGAGCCGCATTGAGGTCACTTTTTAATTGCACCAAACAGTCACCGTGGTAACTGCGTTTCATTCCCCGTGGTAGGCCTCGGCAAGAAGCCAGATGGAGTGAGACAAGGGAAGGGCAGCCTTCCAAGATTGATCTGAAAGAAGAAGGCGTTTCATAACATTTGTTAATTGTCCACTGGGCTTTATTCATGAGGTTACCATTCTAGACCATGTTCCCTTAACCAACTGTATTTGTTGAACACTTACGAATGAAAAGGAGCCAGACTACTTAATCAAAGGCTTTGCCTCACTTTGAAAAATACTTTTCACTTAAGCGAAAAGATAGCATGTCTTTTCATCTAAAATTTGGAAATACTAGTTCTCATCATGGACATGGGTAGTAATCTATCATTTTTCCCCACCGCATCACCTTCACTTCCACGTAGTTTTGACAACAATTGTTTCACTTTGAATTCTAGATGACTGACTCATAAAGGTCAATGGGGACTCTTTGCACACATAATATATTTTTTCAAGATGTATTTTTTGTACACATAATATACCTTGATGAAGCAAGAGAAGCGAAACGTGAATGCCACTACAACTGAGTGATCAGTGCAAACTTAAACAATGAGTTTGCACTCATTCAAAAATAATCATAATATAGATTTATACAGTGCACTTATCCAGAAAACTGATCAAGGTGCAATTCCATTATTATTATCCCTGCTCACTGGGCCCATGAAACATTCCAAATACCATGTGGAGTATACAACTCAATGCTGCCATTTTGGCGCCAAGCAGCTTAAACAACCACAATAATCATCTATGCACTCACAGGGTACCCAATTACTCCTGGATGGAGAGAGGAAATGAGTGACAAAGTGCCTTGCCCAAGGGCACACGCACCATGACCCCAGGCTGGATTCGAACCCACAACCTGAGGCTTTTACGTGCCGACTACGAATCTGATGCTTTTACCCACAAGGCCATGGCACTCCACCCCAAATGAAAAACAAAAGTTGTGACAGGCAAAGTTTCCCACACACTGAAGATCTTGTGAGTAGACAGAGTGACAGAGAAGCTATTGTTTTCCCAGGAAGTCTGTAGACAAGGGTTCAACCTGACTATCTTCTAGCACAAAGTATTATGTGCGACAATACATCTAGGAAGGATATGTGGATCTAAAAGATTCACCTGACTCTCTCGGCAGTGATAGATGTCCCAGCCAAGTTGATCACCCTCAAGACAGACTGACCGGGCACACTGGATAACTTCTTCATGGCGATATCCAAGGCCATTGCTGGGAAAACGTTCCAAGACAAGTCCAACTCAATCAGGCTGTGTC